AGCTAACCTTGGTTTTCAGGGGATAGGCGGAAATAACCTTTAAGAAGCAGAAGGTATGTAAGTCTAATCAGAGGGTACTGGTGGCGGCGGAAACAAAGGTCATTTGCGCGGTTCATTCGAATGTTGTTGACTCTCAACACACACACACACACAAACACACACACATAATGCTCTACGATTGGCTAGCAGTCCCCCGCACGGCAGCTAACTTCAAAAGGGCGTCCTGCCGTCAGCAGACGGGCCTAGGTGTTATCGCAGTACTTAACATTTACGATAAAGGTGCGTTCTGCGCGGGATCCAACTGTTCCACTTGATGTCAGCCCTGCAAATGGTGACGCGTGTTACTGTGCGGCGTCGACCTGTTTCATTCCTGACAGTGCACCGGTCCCACACATACACACACCCCGCCAGGTGAATGTAAACGAATGCCCGAAAATAAGTGTGCATGACTCATTCCTAGTGGAGTAGTGCAATCGACATTTATGATAACTGGTCGCCTGAAAAATCAACCTTCTCCGGATGCCAGTCATCAATACTTTAATGCAAATTTCGACAGGACTGTCTTTAGAGGTCCTATTTGGCTTTGACTTATAACAATAACCTACCTTTACGTACATTTTCAGCAACCCCATTTTCTCTTCTCTTTGTTAAATTCCGCCAATATAAGGTTTAATGTCCATTTTTTCATTAAATTTCGCCGAAATAAGGTTGAATTTCCATCAATAGTTATCAGTTGCCTGTGCAACGGGAGTTTATGTTGATGGAGTCGATTCTATTTAATACATTGAAACAAATATAGGTCTCTTTTGCTCAATATTTTTGATCACTTCAATTAAAATTAAATATTTATTTACACTTGCTAACCAAGACTTAAATGTTGAATCAAAAATTACGTAAGACAGGTGGGCGGTGGGGATAGATATTCAGGCGGCACTTCAAAACCGTTTTGCCCAATTTCCAAACTGATCTGCAATGTTTTGGCATAGAGATAGATATCCACGCATGTTTGGCCAATTGAAAGGTACTTTGGTTTTACGATGTTCACGGTTAGTTTGGTTACTTGGCGCACATCGGTTTGGCCAGGTACAGCATTCCATTAGATTCCAAGCTGAGGATAATACATATATGTCGACCTCTTTGAGTGGAGAGCCAAGGACGCCTCCTCTTGCTAAAACGCTACAGTTCTCCACCCCTCATGTTGGGGAAAATGAAATCATACCTTCAGCTTATCAACGTATCGGATCAGTAGGCTTTGCATAAAAGTCTTATGCATCGCTAGCGTTAGTGAGTATACAGGGCTCTCGAACACATAACGTTTCTGAATGTAGAAATAGAAGATGGGACCGCTGGAACAGGAATTTTATTTGCCTGTAGTTTCGAGTTCTGAAGAGAATCTTTAATCATAGGTAACCGTAGAATAATGTAAGCCATGCACAGATTGCGCGGTATTTATAGTTCGTAGTGGCATGGGTACTATAATTATCCGTTCCTGTAACTACCGCTGAAGATCTTAATTGGTGTGGTGATGACTTGGCAGTCCGCTTTCGAGTAATTAATTGCCGCGATTTCGTTGTCCTTGTTGGATGTGGGCTTGATAATTGCGCAACAATTATGTTCGCTGTCGTCGGAGTTGTCGCTGGGCCCAGCCCTTCCCACATGACTGAGTCGCCTGCTCAGACAAAGTATCAGTACGGAGTTTGGGCACGGCAGTTCGTTGCGCTTGTCGATTAGTTGTGGGCCTGAGAACCATGACTCGAGCAGCTCGCAGCTCACACGGTTGTCACCTCTTGCGAGGATTTCGGCCTCGTTAAACTTGAAAATATGGCCGGTCCCGTCGGGAAAATAAACTTCTTCTTCTTTTTCTAGTGATCGCATTTTTTACTTCTGAATTGCTTCCTAGAACTCACATATTTGCCCTTATCGGCAGTTTCTGAGTGTGTGTCGCGACCTGGCATATCGAAATTTCATTGA